TAAAATAAAACTGAAACTTCTGTTTTCACTTGACTATAAGATGTGAAGGCTCCTGTACAAGTCAGCTCTGACAAAGTGAATACTTTATGCAAGCTGTAACACAGAACCGTTGACACAAATGAAGTATACAGGAGGAAGTATTTATAGGATTATCAAGAAATTCCAGAACTGTGTTAACAATTCTGAAATAAAGTTAAATCCTTAGCTTCAAGGTTGATAAATTCTAAGCAGCTGCTGATTCAAGTGTAAACTGTCTAATCTTACTTGTCCGAAGAATCAGACACTAAATGGAAATTAAAGACACTTCTATATTATTCAAAATTAGGTAAAAAAATGAATATTAACCTTTAATCAGATCCAAAGTCAGATTTTGTTGGCCTTTACCCTGAATGACACTGCTTTAAGCAGGCTGTTCACCTGTTCTCACATTACATAAATAGCTGAATTTTCTAAAAGGATAAAAGCCCAGCCTGTGTCAACAAGCCCACAGATGTCTGTACGCCTTAAGACAACCTACTAAACCCACACAAACCACAATGTTCTGCAGTTGGATGAAGGAAGTTGAGTTTTTGAAAACAAAAATTGTACTTCTGCATCACTTTAGCCATCAGAATAGACTCACCACTGTCTTCCATCAGTGAAGACAGTGAAACGTCTTAGAAAACATCTCTTGTATACCAAGCTGACTTAATCGTAATCGAGGGATAATAAAAGCTCATTAAACTGACATATATATTTCAGGAGAAAACACGAGGATCCATGTAGTTTCCCAGTAGTGCAGTTCATTTGGAAATAATGTAGAAATAAGAATTTGTATTTAGAGAATTGCACACAGAAGACAGACCCCGAGTACACTGCGAGACCTTCTGTGCTGTCAGCTGTGATTTTGTCTCTGACAGCAAAGGAAGACCACGAGTTTATGCTAGGAACGACATCAGGAGTTTCTAAGATGCAAGCAGTCATACACCGTGTGGCATTTGACACGGGCTCACAGTGAATTTCCTCAGCGCGGGTGCCTCTCCCCCGCACACAACTCCCACCCTGGACAGGTGGGCCCGTACAGCCTAAAGGACCGGCGGGGTCACAAGCACCGGGATCCCCCACAGGGTGGGTCCGAGTCTCCCCACAGGCAGTGCGGGAACGCCAGGAGGGGCTAGCCCAGACGGACAGCGCGTTTCCCCCTCAAGGCACGGCCTGACCCACACCCACCGCTCCCGGTCGCCTGTAGCAACCGGGCTATCCCTGCCCCGCCTCGCCGGCCCGTGCGGCGGAGCCGCCCGCCGGGGCAGCGCCCGGGGCTGTGGGGCTGAGGGGGGGCGAGGCGGGCCCGCCGCCATCTTGCCCGCGCCTCCCGCGCACTGCCCGCTCGCGCCGGGCCCGCGCGCCGGCCACTCACGCTCTCCGCCGCGCCGCGCCGCCCCGCCCGCGCGCGTCCCGCCGCGCTGACGTCATCGCACCGGTCGCCCCCGTCCGCCCGCAGCCGCGCCGGCCCCGCCCGCCCGGCCCGCGCATGCGCGGCTGCCGCCGGTGAGGCGATGCCCTCAGCTGGCCCCGCGCCTGCCAGTGCAGGCGGTGCCCTCAGCTTGCCCTCACCTGGCCCTGCCCTGAGGGGGCCGCTGAGGCGGTTCCCGCGGCCCTCGGGCAGGGCCGAGCTCGGGGCTGCGCTCAGCCCCTGAGGAGACGCTGCGGTGCGGTCACAGAATCCAGACGGTCGGGAAAGGCCTCTGAGACCATCGAGTCCCACCTATGACCGAACAGCATCTTGTCACTAGACTGTTGGCACCAAGTGGCATGTCTAGTCTTTCCTTAAACACCTCCAGGGACAGTGACTCTATCACCTCCCTGGGCAGCCTTTTCCAATGTCTAATCATGGTTTCTGTGAAGAAATTCCTCCAGATGTCCAACCTAAATTCCACTGCACCAGGAGAATGTGAGGCCATTCCCTCTCATCCTGTCACCATTGCCTGGGAGGAGAGACCAACCCTTACCTCCTGTTGGTAAGTTGTGGAGACCAAGAGTTCCCCCGAGCCTCCTTTCCTCCAGGCTGAGCCCCTGCAGCTCCCTTGGCTGCTCCTGGTGCTCCAGACCCTTCCCGAGCTCTGTTCCCTCCTCCGGACATGCTCGGGCCCCTCCATGTCTTCCTTGTGAGGAGCCCAGAACTGACCCCAGGGTTTGAGGTGTGGCCTCAGCAGTGCCCAGCACAGGGGGATGCTCACTGCCCTGCTCCTGCTGCCACAGCATTGCTGCTGCAGCCCAGGTGCCATCAGCCTTCTTGCCCACCTGGGCTCATTTTCAGCTGCCATCAGCCTGACATGGCTTCCTGTGCCAGCGTGATCACTGAGGTCATGGCAGTCAGCCCCTCAGCGCCCAGCCCTTCCCCACTGCTGGGAGCTGGGAAAAAGGGAACAGTAAATAACTGTGTGCAATACATGGGGCATAGGTATAACACAGGCACCTAATCCTGGGGTGTAACACTGAGGTGTGATTTGGGCTACTGTGTCCAGCTTGCCCACCTGGGGACAGGAGGGACTTGTGAAGAGGCCAGCCTTCCTCATAGGGTCTGAGACCTGGGAAATGTGATTTGTGAGGAAACACAGTGTTGGAATCTATGGTATTGATGATTCCGAGATTGTAGAAAGTCTCTGTCTTTCAGCCCTGCTGCCAAAGAAGAAGTCGTAATTTGTCTGTTTTCAAGGTTGTTTATTCTTGCTTATCTATAACATGTTCTGCTGCCCTGCCGCAGCTCTGTCCTGCAGGGCAGCGTGTGGGGCTCTGCCCCTCAGTGGGATGGTACAAACATTAAATACCACAAACTACCTGTGCTGGATTTACAATAACGTGCCAATATCTGTCACCTACGTTGGACAGTGTGTCCCCAGCCTAAACCAACAGAAAAATGCCAACACCACAGTGAAACATGGAGGGCATGAAGAAGGAGAAAAAGGACAAGACACACCCAATTTCCTCCATCTTGTCCCCTTTGAACCCCTTATCTAGAATGCTAAAATTTTACTTTTGCACCCATGCCACACTTAATTATTATATATATCAAACACTCAGGGCTTGTAATTCATCCTGTAAGATTGAAAACTCTTTTCCATGGGCAGAGATCACAGACAGTGTCTCTGGGGGCTCTGTCCAGGGGGGTTCCTGACCCCTGCCAGGGTCCCAGACCTTCCAGGGCAGCCAGAGGGGTGCCCTGGATTCCCACAGCACAGGACAAATGGAATCTATTAAGAGAAAAGGGGATGTGGTAGGAGTGTTCAAACATGTAAAAACATGATGTGAAGAGAATAATCCGTTTCCCTCAGTGTGACAGGAACAGCGAGAAGAAAGAGGCCCAAATGATAACCTGAACAGCTCAAGTTATCATCTCTAAAACATTAAAATTCCTGCAAGGATGGCAATAGATGGCTTGGGAGATCATACACGCTTCAGTTGGATCTGCAGCAGCAACAACATCTCTCAGAAATGATACATCACTTGCCCGTGGTTCAGAGCAGAGAGCTGAGCCATGACGGTCCCATCCAAATCCCTCACAGTGCCATCCTTTGATAATGCACTTATTATTTATCAGCTGCCTCCTCAGTGTGTGGCTGAGCTGAGTGCCCTGATACTGTGTTGCATCAAATCCTGCTGTTCTAGTTTGATGCCAAATCAGATACAGCATCAGAATAATCTCCTCTTATAACCTATTTCCTCAGATATTAATAACTGCACTAAATGCAAAGAACTAGAAAAACAGGTCAGTAATGTCTGCAGAGTATAAAATACTTTCTGCAAAGTCTTATGAAACAATTAGAACATTCAAGAAGTCGTATTTGTGTGCTACTGAAGCAAATGACTGTCACTTTGAAATCCAAACACAGGGCATTTAAATGTGATGATCTTTATAAATAAATTACTGCTCAGTTTTTTCCCTTACTTAAATCTAAAACCAACAACTTCTATAATGGAAAAAGGAAGGATAATATTTGCATGCAGGTCTTAGATAAACTGTCTCATGCAGCTTAAAATGTTGACATGATAATAACAAAATAAGGGGAATATGTCACAATGTAAGCCTATCTAAATAAAGCTACTGTCAATCAATTTATTCTGACAGCGTATAAATGATATACATTAGAATAAAATGAATTAAGGTTTATTCAAGTTGGGCAGTGATTTCTGAAACTGAAATTTAGAAGTGTCAAAAACTTACAGTGAACACCAGACGGATAACTGGTTAGAAATAACTGTTCAGGAACTGGTGCTTGTGCTGCTGGACAACTGCTCTCATGCCGACAGTCCAACAGACCCAATTTACACTTGCAGATCTCACAGAGAAGTTGTGTTGAACATGACCTTCTAACATTCTTTTTTTTGTGACCAAAAGAATGGCTCTAAATAGATTTGTGACACACTACATGTGATTTGGCTTGAGAGAAGGGCAGATTTTCCAGAAAAGTCAGGAAGTTCACCACATAAAAAGTTTTTATATGGCATGACTTGATTCTGATTTAAAAATAGCTTCACTGATATTCCCTTTTAACTTACAATAGTGATGCATTTGCTATGCAAGTGGTTAACATAATGGAGGGATCTGAAAAACCTCTCTTTTCCCCCCCTGCATTCGTATCAGAATGGTCTTGAATTTTATTATACAACTGGTTTAACTGTGTGCTGGGAAGGGTCTGGACTGTATTTTGACACAGAGAAGAATATGATTTCCTCTGCTTTCCCTCTTGCTGAGATCAAGATTTTTTTCTTAATGTATAGGATATAATGAATTTCATAATAATAAATATGATCTTGCAGGTTGTGTAGGCAGTGAAATGTCCAATCTGATACACTTGTCAGCCCTTGAGATACGCAGCGAAGAGGTTTTTCGTGGTGTTAGGGATGCATCAGACAAAGAAAGCATCCAGAATGCTATTTCGGAAATTAATCAAATTGTATTTCTGTCTCAATTGCTCATAGGATTTGCTTTGTCTACACATGCCACAAGTAGTAGGACTTAATTCACATTTTGTATACGTGATTTATTAAATACTGATGGGAAATTTGACATTTAAACCAATAAAAGATATTAGACTTAACTCACTATTAGATTTTTTAATGGAAAGACATTTCTTATACGGGCAGGAAATTGCAATAACACATTTACTGATTTACTGCAATATTTTCCTCTCGGATCTTCAAAATGAACTGTCGTAGCTCTTCACAGTTAATAGAATTGGAGGTGAACTGGGATCAGTCCATCACTGTTGCCATCGAAGGGACTGGACAGTGCAGCGATTTCCATTACCCTGGGACTCTGTCTAAACAATTGTGTTCGTGGAAACACAGGTAGGTTAACGTCACTTCTTTCTGGCTAAAGGAGGAATTTTGAAAATACCCTTATATTGCAAGGAGAAGTAACAAATCTAAAAATGGTCCTACGTAAATCCCAACCCAGTAACAATGATTAATTTGACTGCAGTGGGGTCGGGATCAGAGCAATCCCAATTTCATGTGACAGCTGTTAGGAATGATATTCTTGGGGAGGCTTCTGCCGATTTACTCGATGTATTTTCAGTTTGTCTGAGTGGTCAGTGAGGCAAAATTTATTTTACAGCTTTCTATTATCTGTGTTGAACAGTTTTTAAAACGTGTATTGATACACCTTATTAATAAATCTTACAACGCCTTGCTTCCCTTTCTCTTTACATCAGAAGTGTTACTTGTGAGTTAGACTTAAGCAAGACTAATGTTTGTTCCTTTTTGGTATAAAGCTTTTGCACACCTTGCTTCCTGATCATCTTCCCCTTGCGGGGTTTGTTGATGATTCTGCTAATCATAGAATCACAGAATATGCTGAGTTGGAGGAGACCCATCAGGATCATCCAGTCCAACGTTTGTCCTGTGCATCTCGAAGAGTCACTCCTACCATGTCCAAACGCTCCTTGAACTCAGTCAGACTGTGGTTAAGTCACTTCAGTCTGACAGGCCTCACAGATGTTTAAAAGTTGGATAATACTCCGTAAATCCTGACGGGATTTGGGGATTTGGTACCTTTCGCGGATTGACCAGAACGGTCTAAGCGAGACAGGCCCGCTCCCAAATCACTCGCACTGCGCTCAAGTGACGCCGCCGGCCCGACCCTCCGCGGCCGGCCCGACCCTCCGCGGCCGGCCCGACCCTCCGCGGCCGGCCCGACCCTCCGCGGCCGGCCCGACCCTCCGCCGCCGGCCCGACCCTCCGCCGCCGGCCCGACCCTCCGCCGCCGGCCCGACCCTCCGCCGCCGGCCCGACCCTCCGCCGCCGGCCCGACCCTCCGCCGCCGGCCCGACCCTCCGCCGCCGGCCCGACCCTCCGCCGCCGGCCCGACCCTCCGCCGCCGGCCCGACCCTCCGCCGCGCCCCCGCCCGCCCCCGGCCTCTCCCCGCCCCTCGTCGCGGATCGCTCTGGGCGGGCGGCGCGATGCGGCCGCTGCTGCTGGCGCTGGGCCTAGCGCTGGCGCTGGGAGCGGCGAGCGGGCAGCACCGCGCCGAGTACGACCGGGAGGCGCTGCTCGGCGGGCAGGTGGGCCGGGGGCGGGCGGGGCCGGCCGCCGCTCCGGCGGGGCCGCGGGCGGGCGCGCTCCCCGGGCCGGGCCGGGCCGCTGACGGGGCGTGTTGCTGTGCCGCAGGAGGAAGCGGAGGAGTACGTGCGGCTCAGCCCGGAGGAGCAGCAGCGGCGGCTGAAGAGCATCGTGAAGAAAATCGACGCGGACGCGGACGGGCTGCTCAGCGAGGGTAACGGCGGGGGCCGGGCGGGCCGGGTTGTTCCGGGAGGAAAACGCGCTCTACCCGTGACACAGCCCGTGGCTCTTGTGCTGGGGAGAATCCCCGTGGAAAACATCACGATCCCTTGCACAGTGAGTTAGAAACACTGACAGGATCATACAGAGGCTATCTCCGTGCCTAAGGTTTCTGTTTGACTCCAGAAGAGACCACTGAGAGGGGACCTCACTGTTATGTGTAAATACCTAAAGGAAGGGTGCCAAGAGGATGGAGCTAGGCTCTACTCGGTGGTGCCAACTACTTGGACAGGAGGCAATGAATAGAAATTCATGCTCAAGAAATTCTTTCCTATGCAGAGATTGTGCATTTGGCACAGATTGCCCAAAGAGGTTGTGGAGTTTCCCTCACTGGAAGTACTCAAGAACCTTCTGGACACAATCCTGTGCCATGTGCTCTGGGATGACCCTGCTTCAGCAGGGATGTTGGACCAGGTGACCCACTGTGGTTGCTTCCAACCTGACCCATTCTGTGATGGAAGGAGTGTGGCCAGCAAGAGTTAGTGTAGGTCAGAGCAGTATCAAGTTGAAGATACCTCCTTTGCACTTGTACCTGCTTCTTGCATGTCTGAACCTACTTGGAATCGAGTGGGTTTCTGTGTTTGTAATCCTGTTATGTGCAAATCAGAGAGCAGGTGTAAGATGGAAAGAAAGTACTGCAGCCATAATATTGCATAGGTGTGCTTCAGTACCTGGTGACACCAAATGACATTGAGGGATCATATTGCATCATAGTGCAGTATTGAATGGTTCTTCTCAGACAGGTTTTTGTCAGACTTAGGAGCCACATGGTAAACTCAGCTCCTTTCTTTCAGTACGTCATTATGATAATTTAATTTTAAGCCTCATTATGAACATTTTTTTTTGTTGTTCTGCTGTGATTTTGATAAAAAAGTCTCTTGTGTGCACACACAAAGCAAGCAGAATCCTTGGTCAAATGCCAGAACATTATTTCATTAAAATGACACTAAACATACACAAAGCTTTCCAGGTGAGAGAACAAAATGCAGTTTTAAAGACAAGATTGACTGTCTTGTGAATGCTTTACACTTTATACACTGAATTTAATCAACTACACCCTTATTTCAGTGTTCCTGCATGGACTGTGTAGAGTTGAGATAGTCTGTAGCTTCAGTGGGATGGCTAATCCCTGTCACACATCACAAGCAGCTCACAACATGAAGGCTTTAAGGAAAAAAGTCTATATAAAAGTATAGGAATTCCACCCATACTCCATCCTCATGGGTTATATACTGCATCTGATTCTCAGTCTAATGAAAACTTGCCTTCCTTTCACTTCCCAAAGGTAAAACTCACAGTGGAATGTGTTTTTACAATAAGAAACTTAGGGTACTGAAGCTTTTTGAGCTCAGTTATTTTTCAGTGTATTGCAAAGCTCTTGAGAACATCTTCCTTAGTAGTGCCTCCATTTGGAGGCTGACAGTGGGAGCAGCTGAAATATATTAATGCTGCTTCTCTAATGTTGGAATATTAAGTATTTCTGATTCATGGCACTGGATGTTATGTGGTCATATGCCTGTGCCTCACACCTTAAGTGCTGGGAAATAAATCATTAATTAATGGTGCCCATCTTTAAGAAATGTTGCAGTTTCTTGTAAGGCAGTGCTGGTTTGTGCACAAACCTTGCTGGCACACACACCTCTGCATGTTCAATCAATTTACAGAATCTGTTATCAAACTGGTCCCTTTGCTAATATAAATTCAGTACTCAAAATGTATTTTAAAAAATCCCTTGCTGGTTTTTCAAGGATATTTAAATAAACCAAATAAAGTTGTATTGATGCTAAGAAGGACAGGATAAGATACTTCAGTATTTAATAAATGCTGTAAGATTTTTCTCTGTCAAAATACTGATTTCTACAGGACTTTTTTTTAGTCACCATGACTCTTCAGAGCAGGATTTCAGTTGAGTTCATTAGGATGTATAATTTTTGCAATGCACGGGAAGATGTTTTTCCCTTCCAGGCACCTGAAAATAACTGAGAGATATTGGGAGAATATGTTCTCCCAGTCTTCTCTAAATGAAGTAACTTTAATGTATTTCTGTCTGTTTCATTGGTATATTAAGTTTTATTTCTTTTAGCTACATTTGTATAAAAACAAACAGCTAAAAAACCTTTCCAAACTATGTGAGGCTTGATTTAAGCCCCAAGTAAAGGGAAAGTAGCACTACATAAGTAGTTAATATTTTATTTTGAGTAATTAAGGCAATGACACAAAATAAAGTGAATTTTATTTCAGTTTGTGGATTTTTCAAAAGAAACCCCAGAGTGATGGGAACAATGTTTTTTTGGGGTACCAAATTAGATTTAGAGTTGTCTGAATAAACCATACTCAGCATAATTTTCATATAGCTCTGGAGAAAAAGGAAATGCTATAGTGTTGATACTCCTTCAGATTTGAAAAGACAAGGCCACATAACCATTAACAAACCCCCAGTCTGTAGCTGTGATCTATTCCCTCATTCAGTTACTTTGGAAAAAGCCACAACATGGAGCAAACAGACTGCTTTGCTTTAAGTAACCTCTTGCCTATATGCTTTCATCTGAATTGCAAAGGGTATTCCAGACAGAATAGATCTGTGGGATCTTCACAGTTTTTATGGTGCAGATGATTCTGATTTTCTTTTCTTTATTTTATTTTTAATGTTTTTCACAGATGAGCTGAGCTCCTGGATACAACAGTCTTTTAAGCATTATGTTACACAAGAAGCTAAGCAACACTTCAGTGACTATGACAAAGACGGTGATGGATTGGTGTCCTGGAAGGAGTATAACTTGCAAATGTATGATCGTGTAATTGATTTTGATGAGAACACTGCCCTGGAGGATCAAGAAGAAGAATCATTTCGCCAGGTAAAATGTTTCAGCAGCAGCTCCCGTGAGCTGTTGGCCAAAGGCAGCAATATTTGTTTATTGTGACGGAACAAGATGGATAGAGAAAGCAGAGCAGCTGGTATATGGTTAACACGTTATGCTATCTGAGATAGGGGAGTAATTAAAGGAAAGTAGTGGAGTATTAAAGCTGCTACTGACAAAATAAAGACACCGTGAATTGGTACCTCCTGAGTGTATTTTGCTGGCTGAGTGGAGCATAAGTCTATTGACAGTCTTACAGCAGAGCATGGTCTCCAGCCGCCATCTTAAACCCAGGGTGCAATCCATCGGGAGAGGTCTGCAGCCTGACAGGGTCCTGCCCTCAGCAGGGGCCAGCACCCCTGGGGCTGGAGCAGAAGGAAGCTCTTTAACACCTTGGTTGCACTTTTCCAGTCATTCTTTCAGTTACTGCTCAAGCACTCATTGTGTGCTGCCAGTACTGCCTGCTGTAACCTTGCCTCTCCGTTAGAGACCCACAGAGAAAGCAACAGCAATTCAAACAGTTTTAAGCAATGAAAATGCAACTCCCACAGCTAAAAATGGACATTTAAACACAGAAGTTGGGTGTGAGTCACATCTATGAAAGCAGATCCTTCAGAGGGGAAAGAGGCAAGAGAGGCAAGGAGAAAAGGTTCACCAAGAACCACCACATAGCCAAACTTGTTTCCTTTCAAGTTCCACATTTATAAGAACGTGTAAATATTTCCCAGAAAGAGAATAAGTGTGTTTTTAGACTATTCTGGCCAGAGGTTTATTTTTTTCTGTGACGATTTCTTTGTCTGCTTTTAGTAAAGTATTAGTAGATAATACAGGATGTTAGCTGAAATTAAACTAATATAGTGAACAGAGGATTTTACACACTGAAGAAGCAAACTGTAAAGCTTAGAATGTCACAAAACGTAGTAATTACATAGCTTTTAAATACCACAAGACTTCCAGAGGAACTTCCAGTCAAAATATTGATACCATGTTTGAGACACAGATACATAGGGAGCTATAAATCTATAAGCTGGGATAGAACTGCTTGCTCACGTTATGGCTTGACTGCTTGCTGCGTTTTCCTGCCTGCTGACTTCTCCAACATAGATTGTAGATGAGCAGCATTGTACAAGCATCACAGGTCAGGTACCTTCAGCATTTTCCTTACGTTTTTCAAATTAGTGGTCCTGCTCTGATCAGGATGAAGGAGTAAGATACAGTTTAGAAGTGTCATCCGGTACAGGAGTTTACCAGAAGGTGGCGGCCTAGCTCATCACTTCCCAAAAAGCGCTGGAAAACTTACTTTCTCCCTCAATGGTTCAAGCTTACATTGCACTATAGTACTTTCTGTAATCCTTCTGTATTGCCTTCTTAGTTAAACTACTAGCTAAGGTCACTTTTTCTCTAAGAGGACATTTAACTATTTTGCAGAATAGTTAAGATCTTACGCTTCATTTTTTACATGTTATGCCCTGTGTTCATCAGCTTAGCCTGATTTTGAGAGAAGTGTCAATAGATAGGATATAAACCAG